AGCAGAGTGAATGTCAAAGTCTAATGCCAATGGATTTAGCCTCAAATGACCACATCTAACAGGACCAACAGGAATGTCAACCATGGTGTTTATGACAACTATTTTAAATCATAAGCTGCTATTTTACAGATAATAACAGCATAGGCCTTTCACTAATCAAAAATCTATAAGCATAAAACTAAAGCATGTTTATTTTTCACAAGTATGTTAGGCAACACTTACAAATCAATTTCTTCTGAGGTTTACTTACACAGCACTGAACCACTGTTGAAAATTAAGCTCTTACAAAATCAACTCTGGCAATAACTCTGTACTAAAGGAAAAAAATTATCTCAGCATTTTTCTTAACTGCTAACTAGCCTAGTTAGTATGCAAAGTTAACAACCTTGAAAAGTACTGTTAGCTTTGATTCTGAGCAGGCCAGAGAAATCTGCCTCAATTAAGTCAAATTGTGGTTGTGAACAAAATAATCTCAAAGGTATCTTCTAGCCTTGAAAAACACAAATCAGACAGCTACAATTTTCTTCAGTTCTCTCCTAAGGTAAATATTTTTTGAAGGAAGAAAGGAGAGGGTAAGAGACAGGAAGGGTGCTCCAGAGTCCTCCTACAACTTCACAGTAAGTCAACTGAATTCAAGGCAACACATTTTAATGATCTAATATATAAACCATACCAAGATGAATAAGAGGGTACTTGCTCACAGAAGCTTTTCACCTTGTATGGCAGGAGTCTCCCCAGGCCAAATTCTGCCCACTCCTCCGCCTGTGTCTGTAACATTTTATTGGAATACAGCCACACACTTTCACGTGTCAGGTACTATTCTAAGGGCTGCACACAGATTATCTCACGTAATCCCCTCAACAAGCTTGTGAGGTAGACACTTCAGTACATGTTACAGATGAAGAGACTGAGGCACAGAGAGGTTAAGCGATTTACCCAAGGTTGCACAGTTAATACATGGTGATGCAAGAATTCAAATCCATAGTTTGACTTCAGGGTCTATGATCTGATCTTCCTGCATAGGGCATGCACTAAATGAAGGTACAAACAACATTGTTATGTACGGAGAAACAAAGGCACTATTACTTTTCACTGAGGGATCAGTAAAGGCTTCGTGCAGGAAGAAGGGCTGGTCCCTTGTATTACCTTTTGACCTAATCTTTCCAGATCCATGGAAATGATGACAAACAACACATAGCCACAAAAATTGAACAGAGTAAATTCACATGATACTGTAAGTTAGCAATATATTCATTTTGCTAGGTATTTTTTTTTTTTTGAGACAGTGTCTTGCTCTGTTGCCCAGGCTAGAGTGCAGTGGCCCAATCTCAGCTCACTGCAATGTCCGCCTCCTGGGTTCAAGTGATTCTCCTGCCTTAGTCTCCAGCTACTCCTGAGTAGCTGGGATTACAGGTGTGTGTCACTACATCTAATTTTTGTATTTTTGGTAGAGATGGGGTTGTGTCATGTTGGCCAGGCTGGTCTTAAACTCCTGGCCTCATGTGATCGGCCTGCCTTTGGCCTCCCAAAGTACTGGGATTACAGGTGTGAGCCACCATGCCCAGCCAATTTTATTTCTTCTAATCGCCACTATTAATATAGTGACAAATATCACACGTGGCTTGAAGAAGTATAAAACATTATCCCTATGGTCAATGAGCTTATACTCTAGTCTAGATGTATTAAATAAAACTAAAAACTAATTGGTACAAAAAAGTTGATACTAGAGTCATTTTTTTTTTTAACAGAAATTTTGTACAAATGCTAAAATGTGGAAACGGGAAAATCACTGATCAATATATACACGTTTTTCAATCATTTCATAGAAAAATCCTCAATGCCTACTGTAATGGCTGGTTGTTGGGTTTTGACCAACGAATCTATTCCCCCTCACTTTTGATAATTGTACTCCAGTGTTCCTCTTGATGAACCTGTCATGTCGTTCAGTGGGGGCTGCATTGTTGGGTCCAAGAGTGGAAGATGCAACTATACTGTACCAATACAAGCACTGTGTTCTACTTGCCATAGTGACTGGTTTAAAAATAAGCAGGGTATCCAATGGGGCACGATGAAACTTGTTAAAGCTTTGAGGAGAGTGCTCCTTCTGACTACATTTAAACTGGGAAGAATATGAGGCCCGGTATCAAAGATAAATAAAGTCAGCGACTAAAGTGTTAAGGACACATTGTATTGTTACTACTGCAATAGGGAGAAAGAGTCCAGAGTGAAACGCATTCACAGTCCCAGAGAACAAAACGCTGGAGTAAAGGCTAAGGTGTGCTGAGGAAAAGGCACTGAGGGGTACTCAGGGGGATTAGTCCATGTGACTAGGCCATCTGGATTTGCTAACTGGTGCTTATCTGGAAGAGAAACAATCTTCTATCTTTATGAAAGAAGGCAATTGAGCAAGTTGAAGCAAGGTGTCCACTGAACTTAGCACCTTATCTTCCCAGAGGGACTAGGAAAGAGAATGAGAGTTATTTTCTAGAAAGCTCCTGTTTTATTGAGACAGGGTTCTTGGGCTCTCAGGTCCTCGAGGAAACAGTTTTGTGTGTTAGATTCACATCTCAAAGAGCAGAGAAAGTTTTCATAATTGCAAGCTTTCTAAACTAACTGTCTAAAGAGTTCAGGGGCCTATCACCAAGTTTTTCCTGGAACAATCAGGAAATTCGGGCAGCTTTGAGCCTCTTCAGGTAGGCATTTTAAGGGAACCTGACATCATCCTAAGGACATGGCTTTAAGCAGCTAGAAGCCATGACAGGGCTTGGTCAAGTCTCTTGGTGCAGAGGTTTGGAGCAAGTCATTACATACCCTGAGAGTTGAGCAGTTCTCAGTACAACCACCTTGAAGCTTTCTTCATAAAGTGTCTATCCATAAATAAGAAACTGAGGATTCTGGCAACAAAGCACACCGTCCTCTTAGCCTG